TGGTAATGAATTGTGGACACCAGTATTACGAGGCCCATAACCAAGTAAAAATTGTTCTCTCGCATATTCCATATCCTGTTTAATAGGGGGTGGAACTTCTGGAAGTATTCCTGAATCATAAGGAAAATTATTGAAAGAGCACGGTTGGCTTGGAGAAACTTGTTCTCTACTCAGAGGTTCGAATGTAGAAGGTTGAGAAGGCATATGTGTCACTTCGTTGGTAGTCCTTGCTGAAGATGAGAGAATGGAGAACAATTAGCACAGGTTGGGAATGAATATAATTGTTAGAAATTGACAGAATGGAAACTAACTGGATAGAGTAGAAGAAGGAGATGGTAAAATGTCGGTGCGACTTAAGGGGCGTTTTTGGGTGTGGGTCGGATCTGGCGATGAGTCAATTGATGATGATGGTAATGAATTGTGGACACCAGTATTACGAGGCCCATAACCAAGTAAAAATTGTTCTCTTGCATATTCCGGATCCCGTTCAATAGGTGTTGGAACTCCTGGAAGTATTCCTGTAAAATTAGGGGATTTATTTAAAGGACACGGCTGGCTTGGAGGAACTTGTTCTCTATTCAGAGGTTCGAAAGTAGAAGGTTGAGAAGGCATATGTGTCACTTCGTTAGTAGTCCTTGCTGAAGATGAGAGAATGGGGAGTAATTATTACAGGTTGGGAATAAATGAATTTATTTAGAAATTGGCAGAATGGAAACTAACTGGATGGAGAAGAAGAAGAAGACGAAAATGAAGGAGTTTGTAAAATGTCAGCGCGACTAGGGGGAGGTTGTACGATTTGAGTCCGATCTGGCGATGAGTCAATTGATGATGATTGTAATGAATTGTGGACACCAGTGTTACGGGGCCCATAACCAATTGAAAATTGTTCTCTCGTGTGTTCCGAATCCCCTTCTATAGGTGGTGGAACTCCTGGAAATATTCCTGCACCATAAGGGAAATTATTAAAATGACTCGGTTGGCTTGGAGAAACTTGTTCTCTACTCAGAGGTTCGAAAGTAGAAGGTTGTGAAGGTATATGTGTCACTTCGTTGGTAGTCCTTGCTGAAGATGAGAGAATGGAGAGTGAGAATTACAGGTTGAGAAATGAGTGAATCAGTTATTAATCAGAATGAAAACTAACTGGGTCGGGTTGAAGAAGGAGATAGTAAAATAGCAGTGTCACTAAATCGACGTTGAGTCGGACCTGTTGATGAGTCGATTGATTGTGACGAAAAGGGATTGTGGGCATTAGTATTAACAGTTCCATAACGAAGTGAAAATTGTTCTCTCGCATATTCCGGATCCCGTTCAATAGGTGGTGGAACTCCTGGAAATATTCCTGTACCATAAGGGAAATTATTGAAAGGACACGGTTGGCTTGGAGGAACTTGTTCCCTACTCAGAGGTTCGAAAGTAGAAGGTTGAGAAGGTATATGTGTCACTTCGTTGGTAGTCCTTGCTGAAGATGAGAAAATGGAGAGTTATAATTACAGGTTGAGAAATGAGTGAATCAGTTATTAATCAGAATGGAAACTAACTGGGTCGAGTAGAATAAGGAGATATTAAAATAGCAGTGTCACTAAAGGGACGTCGTACGGGTTGAGTCGGACCTTGCGATGAGTCAATTGATTGTGATGCCAATTGATTGTGGACAGGGGAATTAAAATTCACCAAACGAAGTCGTACTTTTGCTTTCACAATATAAAATATGCAATAAAACAAAGGCAAATCAGAGCAGAGATTCATTACATTTTGCCTTTCTTGGCCCTGATAAACTACTGACACGAAAATGAGACAACTTACACAGCCTAGACAAGCGCGTTTCATACGCACAAAGCACAATAATCAATAAAGTCTACTTCCCTTCTCCATGGATGCGTGATAGACTTACCTCCACGTGGTGCTCCCTGGGCAACGTATACTCATACGGCAAAAATGTCTATTAACTGGCGATTGACTTCTGGCGCTCTGCTCATCCTACCTTTTCTCTGTCTTCATGTCTGTCTCGTTACATCTGTAAATCCCTCTTCTGTTCCCCACCCCTCGACTTTCTGTTACTTTGATGTTCCTTCCCCCTGTGAAGCCCGAAGTCAGCTAAAGGGCTAATGATAACTATCAAAACGCCTGCCATTTGAAACAAATAAATATACTTCCCTTCTCCAACCTCCACTATCTCGTGCATCTTTGATGCCAATTATGATTTTTCCTTTTTGGTTTTGGTTGGCGGCTT